TTCTCTGCCGATTTGGGGACTTTTTAAAAGCATGGTCCAGTCCAAAACGTGGGTGCAGCCACCCCACTGCACCTCTGTATCCACCCCTCTGTGTAAGTGCTGTAAAACCTGTATGCTCATTTGGAATTTTGAAATTTCCTGTACTTCAAGAAGGTGATAGGGTAGGATGACTGATCCACATATGGGCCCATTTGAGTAGGAGGTTCTGAGTGGCTCTAGCCATGCTTCTTGCCAGCCCTCAACTGCTCTCAGTTGCTAAACATTTAGCTCAAGTAACAGAAAAGCCTGGTCAGTATGGCAACTGCCTACAGGCAGGAAAGACCTAGTTTGATCCAGGTGAGGGTGGTGTGTTCCCACTCATCTACATTTCTGGTGTGGCCTCAAGGCTCATCAAGCCTCCTATCAAACTGGTGTAAGGAGCTACCTGTGGGTAACAGTGGCTGGAGAGTGGCTCTGACCACATCACCTCCTACCTGTGCCGAGATCAAAGAGACCTGCCACCACTGCCCCAATGGGCCTCAATAGCCTGTAAATGGGCCATCTTTACCTTAATACAGAGACTCCATACATACTTTAAAGAAGTGACACTGAAATCAGTATTAAAAGAATTAGGCTCTGTGTATATATCTGCTAATACTGGTCTCAAGGTGCATCTGCAAAAAGATAAAGTAAAAGAGCTTCCCGCCAGTCAATAACCTTCATGACTCAAGGTGACATGTTCTGCCCACTATGCCTGTGCTACACCCAGGAATGATAAATTTGAGCCCTACCCATGACATAATTTAAGAATCAGCCGTAGAAATGTTAGTATCTTCCTCCCAAGGGTGTTTTGACCTTAGTATGTACATGGAGATGGAGCACTGATGGGCAGGGAATAGTGGTCAGGGCTCTGGGACAGCTGTCATGATGGGTTGGTGGCTGAGGCAGCCTGCCCTCCAGCACTTATGCACGTCTGAGGAGCTCTGAGCCCCACTTACTTCCACTCCCCCAGAACAGGGGGGAAGGTGCTATCTTGTAGGGGAGGGATCCACACCTCTATTGCCTCCTCCCCCAATTTGAGCTGCAATTGGAGTTGACCTTGAAAAAAAGCAAAGCACACTGAACCCACTCAAAACCAGGAAATATGTGGAAACTTCATTCTGCCCTGTTTGAATAATATCCTAGTAGGGCCATAATGAGGCAGCCATGTTTTTCACCTTGCCAACAGTGCCGAGCCAGGCATGTGGCCGTTTTAAGCAGCAGGGCAATTTTCCCTTTGCTAAAACAAACCTCTGGTAGACGTGAGCTGTCCCGAGTAACAGCTGCCTACACCTTGGTCTCAACACTCAAATGCTTCAAGTGCGGACATGGAAAGCCTTTCATATGGAGAAGACTGACTTGACTTTCACAGTCAAGTGAAGCAAACACACAGTGCACGGGCTTACCCCGGTGTAAGCCGCTCTGTCCCGGGGTAAAGTTTCCCCTCACAAAGCAGAGTCACTACTGGTGCATCCCAGCGGGGCAGGCCTGTCTGCGCCCCTGCTCCGCGGCTGGGATCACGGGGGACAGGCTTTCTAGCTTCCCAGACGGCCTCTTGCTCATGTCGTGTCTTCCCCGGCCGCAGGGGACCGGCCGGCCGGCCGGCCCGTCGGAAGCCGCCCCGATTCAGAGCCCCAGGACGAAGGGCCGCATCTGACAGCTCGCCCGGCCTCATCCCGACGCCGCGGCCGGACACCGCCTCCCGCGCCCCGGTGGCACCAACACTGCGGGAAGCGCCTGCCCGGGGCTCCTCCTGCCGCGCGTGTCAGCGCCGGCCGCGGGGAGGGGCCAGCCCAGCCTCCCGCTCCCTCAGCGCCTCGCAGCCGCGCCCCGTGACCCAGAACAGGAAGCGCGGGGAGCGAGGTCACGACTTCTGACCCCGCCGCGGCACAGAAGGGAATATGGGGCCGCGACAGAGGTGAGGCAGCAGTTGTTTTGGGGGTGGGGCCAGAACCCCCACCTTGCGGGCTCCTCCGGGTACCGCGGCTCGTGGCGCTGTCACAACAAGCCCCGGTGGCCGGTCCCGTGTTTCCCCCGATGCAGTCTGGTCTCCTGTCCCCGGCCTGCCTGTCTCCGTGCGCGCTGCCCTTGCCCCTGCCCACCCGCCCTGTCTACACGCCCTGCTGCCGGAGCGAGTTGTCCCCTGCCCCGGCCTGTACGGCGAGGTCTTGGCGAGCTTTGACGCCAGGCGGGTCCGGGGTCAGCTCTTCGGCTGCACGTGCGGTTTTATCAACTTTACCGCACCGCTTGTGAGCCAGAGCACCTGGCCGTGACCTGCCCTTGCTGTGTGGGAAGGGAAGAAGAAAGGTGTGTTGAAACGAATACTTCTCTGGCCTTTTATTAGACCAACTAGGAAATGGCAAAAAATGAAAAAAAAGATCTTTTGCTGCAAGGTTGGGGCCTGTGTGCATCTTGTACGTAATTGAACCCAGGGGTGAGCAAACTCCGGGTACAAATTGCTGCGTAGCGTAATGTATCATTGCAGCTTTGTAGCCAGAGAAGCCTGTGGCCAGACTGAGTAAATAACGTGAGAACTGAGACTGGAAGACCTGCAATAACATTATGCTCATATTCTTAATACTTACAGGGACAGTTCTTGTCAAGTGAAAACTGTAACTTGAAACAGAGTTTGTTTTACAGTAGCCAAAAATATTTTTGTGGTCTGGTAGGCTGGATGGGCCTAGGAATCGGGAAGTTCTGGGGTTTAGCTTGGCCTTGATGCTTTCTCTGTGGCTCTAGATTACACCTCGCTAGGGGGTTACAATGATTATTCAACTAATATTTATAAAGGTGTTTTGAATGTCTAAGATGCCATAAGAAAGCTAGTTAATAGCTTATTATTAAATCTATTGAGTTTATATGACATGAGCAAGAGAAAAAAATGCTCAGAGCATGTTGATGTCTCATGTCCATTAAGCATTCTTAACATGAAATTTCTTGTATAAATTGGTTTTTGTTTTTCTCTACTGTTAAACATTTCTAAATGCATGAATATTGGTGGTCAGATCCCTATAATATATGTTAAATAAGGACTGTCAAGAGAAGGCAAGATGCTGGATATTCCAAGAGATATATAGAAGGACTTGTACCAGGAAGGAAGTACTCCCTGTCAGAAATGCAATATTTTCTCACGTAATCACCCTGGGAGAAGATACACACCGTGTTCTTGAAAGACAAAACAGATTAAGAGAAAAAGATCTTTCTTTGTAGTAAGTAACTGAGTAGCACCAAGAGGTGCACCGAGATATTGGTCCATATTGTACTGGCACCAGTGAAAGGAAAATTGATATTATTGTCAATAGGCTTTTTTTTGGTTGATGCTGCCGATAATGTCACTGATAAATGCCGTGTGCACGTGCACAGCCTTAGCACACACGGCCAGGAACACAGCCTGGCAGCTTGGAGAGCAGTGTCCAGCCAGCAAGTCTGTGGTGGGGAAGGGGTGTGGGGGAACAGATCAAGGCCCCCACAGTGAGGGAGGGAGTGAGGCTGGAGCTGGGGCAGGTGCTGCCCAGCTGGGACGGGGCAGAGCAAAGGATTGAGCCATGGGTGGCTTCTCCAGAGGGTGCAGAGGCCTGGTGGGAGAGTGGCTTCTGCTGCTGCGTGCACCCCCAGGGGAGGCATGGGGGGCTTGTGCCCCCCAGATTTGTGTGCGGGGCAAGGGCGGGCTCCTGCTGCAGGCTCAGGGATGGGGGCACTGTGCAGCCTTTTCCTGGTGGGGGAGCTGAGCTGGGGCTGTGCTCAAGGCAGGCAGGGGCAGGGTGGGTGGTGGTGGTGCTGGGAGGTGGTGGGGGCTGCAGGGTGGCTATGGTGAACTGCGGTGACTGTAGCCCGCTACATAGAACCTCATCCCAGCACCATTGCCACCCGCCCTGAGTGCAGCCCTGGCCCAGCTCTCCCACCCGAAAGAGGCTGGCACAGCCCCTGGCCCAGAGCACGCAGCGGGCAGCCCGCCCTCGCCCCACACAGATCCTGGGGGCATATGCCTGCTTCCCCCAGAGTGTGCGCAGCAGCAGGAGCCAGCTGCCCCAGGATGAGCTGTCTGCGGCTCCATCTCATGCCCCGCCCTCCATGACTGCCCCAGCCCACTCCCTCCCTTACTGTGGGGTCCTCGATCTTCCCCTTCCACCCCCATGCCCCATCCGCCCAACAGACTTACTGGCTGAATGCTGCTCTCCAAGCTGCCAGGACGCATATTGGCAATTGGATTGGTATTAGCCGATATGGCTGGTTAATAATCAGCCATCAATATCGGCCAAAAAAATCTTTATCAGTGCACCCCTAGTAGCAGCTGCAGTAGCAGCAAGGAAGCTAAGTCTGCTCATTGTTCTGCTCCCTGTGGATCGTTTGCTTTTATCTGGTAGAAGCTTAAGTGGCAGAAGCTGCTGTTACCGTATTTCCTTCCTTATAATGCATATGCCAATTTCCAGAAGCTGGCTGTTGGAAAAAAGTATGGTATATGAGAAATTTTGGCTTATGAAATCACCATATTATTACTGTTGATTTATCCCTATTATGGACTGACTTGTTTGCAAAACAGTGCAATACAAAATACAACTTTTTCTCATTCATAACATGGAAGAAACCCTTGTAACTAGCCTAAAACTGCCTTTAATTTCACTGTTCCCAGGTCACCAGGGATTATGAAAGTGGCTGAGTGGTATGTGCTGAAAATGGCCTCCTGGCTGAGATCTAGTGATTGATAGCCACCAAGCTAACTTTTGGTGAGGAGCAAAGGCTGATGACACCAAGGTTAGTAACTGAAAGTTTATATTTCAGTATTGCAGAACTAAATGTGAAAATCTGTTTCCTTTTTATATTTACCCTGAAAACATGGAGTAGGATATTACTGCACTGTTGTTTTTCTGCTTAACATTAATATGACTGCCAATACTGGTTTGTGGATTTTAGCATTAGGAGATGATGCTGAGCAACAATGACAAATTTCCTCAGCCTAGCTACACATCCCATTTTTTCCATTTCAGGCATGACTTCTGTTCATACAGGTGTTCGGTCTGTGTTTTTAAATGCAGCTGAAAAAGTTAAACTGTGAAATGTATGCGTCAGGGCCAGTCCTTAGATTTCCTTCTAAAGTTTTAAGACCTTGCTTCATAAGAACATTGCTTATCTATTGGGAAGAATGACATTGTTTCTGACCTGATACAGTACCAAAGGTCCATTTCAGGCATGACTTCTGTTCATACAGGTGTTCGGTCTGTGTTTTTAAATGCAGCTGAAAAAGTTAAACTGTGAAATGTATGCGTCAGGGCCAGTCCTTAGATTTCCTTCTAAAGTTTTAAGACCTTGCTTCATAAGAACATTGCTTATCTATTGGGAAGAATGACATTGTTTCTGACCTGATACAGTACCAAAGGGCAGATAGTTTCATAGTTGGTAGGGTCGGAAGGGACCTGAGGAGATCATCTAGTCCGACCCCCTTTCTTTTGGAAGTTGGTTCCAGGTCCTAGCTGCCCTGACAGTGAAATAGCGCTTCCTAATGTCTAGCCTGAAACTACCCTCCACTAGCTTGTGTCTGTTGTTTCTTGTAACTCCCGGGATTGCTCGGGGGAACAGGAACTCTCCCAATGCCTGCTGGTCCCCCTTGACTAGTTTGTAGACTGCCACTAGATCCCCTGTCAGCCTTCTCTTTTGGAGGCTGAACAGGTTCAGGTCCCTCAGCCTCTCCTCATAGGGGCTGCCCTGCTGACCCCTGATCATGCGGGTGGCCCTCCCCTGGACCCTCTCCATATTGGCCACATTCCTCCTGAAGTGCAGCACCCAGAACTGGATGTAGTACTCCAGCTGCGGCCTGACCAGTGTCGCATAGAGGGGGAGGATCACCTCCTTGGACCTGCTTGAGATGCATCTGTGGATGCACGACAAGGTATGGTTGGCCTTCCTGACCGTGTCCCTACACTGTCGGCCCATGTTCATTGTGGCATCAATGATGACTCCAAGATCCTTTTCTGTCTCAACACTGATGAGAAGGGAGTTTCCCAGCCTGTAGGTGTGCCGCTGGTTCTTCCTCCCTAGGTGCATTACCCTGCACTTGTCAGTGTTGAACCCTCTTTGGCCCACCCTTGTAACCTGTCTAGATCCGCTTGCAGCCTGTTCCTTCCTACTAGCGTACCCACTTCACCCCGCATCTTAGTGTCATCTGCGGACTTGAACAGGGTGCTTTCTACCCCCTTGCCCAAGTCACTGATGAAGATGTTGGATAGTGCGGGCCTGAGGAACGAGCCTTGGGGAGCCCCACTGCCCACATCCCTCCAGGTCGAATAAGACCCGTCCATCACCACACTCTTGGTGCGGCCCTCCAGCCAGTTAGTGACCCATCTTACCGTGTGGGCATCAACACCCCTGTCTCCTAGTTTCTTACTGAGAATAGGGTGAGAGACCGTGTCAAAGGCCTTCCTGAAGTCCAGAAAGACTATATCCACTGCGACACCTGCATCCAAGGACTTGGTGACCTGGTCATAGAAGGCCCCCAGGTTGTTTTCACAAGACCTGCCCCTAATGAACCCATGCTGGTTGCCCCTGAGCATAACCTTCCGTGCTGGCCCTTCCTGGACATGTGCCAGGGTAATTCTTTCGAAAAGCTTCCCCAGGACCGAGGTAAGACTCATGGGCCTATAGTTTCCTGGGTCCTCCTTCCTCCCTTTTTTGAAGATGGGGACCACATTGGCCCTTTTCCAGTCCTCCGGCACGTCGCCCAAGCTCCATGAATGCTCGTAGAGCTGTGCCAGAGGTCCTGCAATGA